ATGTGTGTGTGTATGTGTGTGTGTATGTGTGTGTGTATGTGTGTGTGTATGTGTGTGTGTGTGTGTGTGTGTGTATGTCTATATTTAGAAAACACACACACACCCCATGGGTGCTGCTAAATCTGTTTTTTACATCCTCCTCAAATGTACCGTTTAAATACTGTATTCCCGTTCATTTTCATTAAAAATCAGACCCCCCCTGTATCCCCCCTGTGATGCCCCTCATATATACAGCACACATACAGAGTATAATGTGTGTGTAATAATGGATGCATACTATGAGTGTGTGTATTCCGTCCTTCCAGCTGTTTATCTGCAGTCTCTGGTGTGTGTTTATTGATAACTGCAATATTTCATTTTTATCAAGCGAGCCACATTTTTCCCTGTGGCTGTTGTGATTTTCCCAGCTTATTCCATCCGGCTGCCCCGGCCAAGCGCCTGCCCCGGGGGTCTTCCTGCAGTTCAGGTGCCCCCATTATGTGTAGAAATGTTAAGCGGGGCCTGCTGGGTGTGTGATCAGTGTGGGGGGGGCCCAGGGTAACTGCCCCTCGGCCAGGGGGACGGGGGCGCGATCGCGAAATGTCAGCAGGTCCAGGCGGGAAAGCAGGCCGGCGTGGTCACAGGAAGCGGATGAGGAAGGAGCACGTGTTCCTTGGAGACCTCTTGACCTTCAGAGAAAATGGATGTGTGTAAATGCAGCCATGAAACGTTTTGTTAATGGCTGGTAATTTGTCCTCCTGTCTCTGTGGCCGTTCCAGACGTCAGTCTCGCCGCGGGGCAGGCTCTCGTCGGAGTTCCCCGAACTGTCGGGGGTGGGGCTGTGTACCGGGAGGGTTTGACCAATCAGATTGCTGGTGCTTCTGCAGGTGTCCGACTCGCTGACAGTGTGCCGGAAGCACCTGACCCAGGTGGTGGCCGTCCTGCAGGAGGGGGCAGCGGCGGGGGCCCAGATGCTCACCTCCGCCCTGGGCGACCAGGAGGGGGTGCCGGGCGGCAGGCTGGAGGACGCCACCTTCAGCGCAGTGGAGCAGGTGCGTGACCTTTAACCCCGAGCCGTCAGACTGACGCGTCCTGTATACGGCAGCGGCATTCTGACGTGGTCGTGATGACCGCCTCCCCGCAGAAACACGGCATCCATGTCGCCAGGTGGCTCAGGAACGTGTGTGTTTTCTTAAGTGGAAACACCGGCGTGGGTCTGCATAAACCCCGCGTCCCAGGTGGAGCCGTCCCTGCCTCTCGAGCATGTCAATGAGATTAGAAGCCCTTCTTCCCTATTCGGCTTGCTGTTTAGTATTCCAGGCGCTGGTGATGGAGGACACGCGATCCCTGACCTCATAAGCTTCGTATTTCGATGTCGAGCAGAGCGCTGGCATTGGCCGGTGTTTCCACGGCTGACGTCGGACTCCAGCGAGGGGCCGCCTTGAGTCGAACTGCTTTCTGCTCAGTGTCCAGAGTAGGGAGCAGACGTGGATTTTTGTTAAGCCTTGGTGTTCTGCACCCCCAACCCCCCCCCCCCAAATCAGGTGTATGACACTGAGGCCACCAAGTCCCAAGAGTGCCTGCGGCAGTCCTGTGCCGTCATCGTGGCCACCATGAACAAGATGGCCACCGGCATGCAGGAAGGCGAGTACGACGCACCCAAGCCACAGAAGAAGGTGAGGAGACCCATTTCCGCTGTGGTGTAGTCAGAGGTCTGAGAAGGAACCCATTCATTGGCTACTGTCTGTAGCAGGGGCGAGGCCATGAATTCCGATTGGCTATGAGTGCCTCCTCCCCTGTCACTCACAGATTCTAAACATTTCATTGGCCCCTCTGTAGTTGGCCCTTCTGTATGAATTATGGCCCCTGCTATTAAATATCCTAGATTCTCTCTTGCTCTGTAGAGCTCGAGGATGGAGTAAGAGCTTTATTTCCACTTCTCCTGACATTTAAAGCGAGCGGGAAAGCATGCAGGAGTGTGGTGGGGGAGGTGGGTGGTGATGCCCGTGGTTTGGGTGTCTGAACCCGGTCTCCACGTCTCAGAGCGCCCCCCCAGTGGAGCTGCGGGCCGCGGCTCTGCGGGCTGAGATGGCCGACACGGAGGGCCTGGGCGTCAAGTTGGAGGATCGGGAGATGGTCATCAAGGAGCTCAAGAGGTCCCTGAAGATCAAGGTACGGAGGCGTGGCGACCAGGGTGCTGCCTGCTCATTCCGTGATGCTAGGTGGGGAAGTTGGCTTCATGCCTTCTGTAATCCGATTGTTATTAAATAGGTCAGGCGTCATTACACCGCAACTATTAAGTGTGTGTGTGTGTGTGTGTGTGTGTGGGTTTACCTATCCTTATGGGGACACAATGTCCCCATAACGTGATAAATATCCGCTTTTTTTTCCCTAAAACTCTATTTTATAAAAATCGGTGACTGCTATGAAAAAACTAAAAATGCAAAAACTCTTGTATTTTGTTTGGTTACTTATGGTTAGGGCAGGGTAGGGGTTAAGGTTGTCATAGTTAACGTTAGCATTTTTCCCATTGAAATGAATGAGCGGTCCCCATAAGGATATGTTTACCCTACATGCGTGTGTGTGTGTGTGTGTGTGTCCTGCCAGGGCGAGGAGCTGAGCGAGGCCAGCGTGCGTCTCAGCCTGCTGGAGAAGAAGCTGGACAGCTCATCCAAAGACGCGGATGAACGTGTGGAGAAGATCCAGACCAAGCTGGAGGAGGCCCAGTCTGTGCTCAAGAAGAAAGAGAAGTAAGCTGGCAGAAGTGTCAGAGCATGGGGCTCGGGGCCGATGTGGTCACTGTCACACGGGGCTTTGGTGTGTGACGGGGGCGGGGGGTGATCCGTGTGGTTTGGGTGTCTGAGCTTGGTCTCTGTCTTACAGAGCGCCCCCCCTCCCCACAGTGCTTACTGGTTGGAGATTATATGTTCCCTCTTCATACCTGTCTCCCCTTGCCCCATCCCACAGGGAGTTTGAGGAGACCATGGACGCCCTACAGGCTGACATCGACCAGCTGGAAGCGGAGAAGGCCGAGCTGAAGCAGCGGATCAGCAACCAGTCCCGTGCGACCATCGAGGGCTTGCGAGGGACGCCAGCATCCGGCATCGCCTCCATGGTCTCGGGCGGGGTAGTTGGTGAGTCTTGCTGGGGCCCCGACCGGCATCAGCACCTCTCCTGTTGCATTCTGGGAACTGACTCTGCCCCCCAGGTGGGTTTGATGTGCAGCTAAGATCCTTCAAAATGGGAATTCTGGGATCAGGGATCAGGGGCAGACTATCAGGGGAAACCACGCCTATTGGCTCTCCGATCCAATGCCAGGAAATCAGCCTCCTAGATATTGGGAATTCTGGAACATTCAGAATGATGCCCATCGATCAATCCTGGGGTCACTGCACTCCAGAAATGCACACATTCTGCCATTTCTGATTTGTTCAGATGTCTGTCAAAGTGCGCCTGCATGCCGTATGACGGGGAGCTCCAGCTCTCTGTGCTCCAATTTCTGACCAGGGGGTGTAAGTGCTTTAAGTCGTACTTATTGTTCAGTCGTCTTGCGAGGGGGGTGCTCGTTAATCACCAGCCTTAATGGCCTGTAAGAAGCTCTGGGCTCGGCTTGCCGTGACTGCCCCTCCTCAGCAAGCCTGTGCTCTGGGCTCGGCCTGCCGTGACTGCCCCTCCTCAGCAAGCCTGTGCTCTGGGCTCGGCCTGCCGTGACTGCCCCTTGACTCACTCCTTGTTCTCCCCAAACAGGCAGCACGGCCCCCAGCCTGTCCGGAGGCTCAGGACAGCTTCAGGTGGTGGATTCACCGCTGCTCATGCAGCAGATCGCGGCTCAGAGGCTGAGCATCAAGCACCTGAAGAACGAGAATAACCGTCTGAAGGTGAGAGGCTCCATGTCGCAGAAAACACAGCGAACATCAATGTGCTTCAGTGGGGGTGGGAATCTCGAGACCGGGATGCACTTCAAGAACAAAAAGTATATCAAGAAGTCAAGTCCAAGTTTACCGTCATTTCAAAGTTCATGCAGGCATAGAGCGAAACGTCCAAGACTTTACAGAGTATGGCAAGTTAGATGTACAAAACAATAATTAATAAACATACTAGAGAACCAATCAGATGTCTTGGTCCCACCTCCTCTAGTTGCTTGGACCCGCCTCCTCTACAATCTGAACCAATCATGTTTCCTGCTGCCCTCCGAACATTTTTGTCTAAGTAATACTTCCAGGAGCAGATATCCATGCCCCTCACTTTAGAAATCCCTATGTAAACAGCTTACAGTGACAAACAGAAGGTTTATACAGTGAAGTACAGTGTAAAGCGGTTCTTCCATTGTTATGAAGCAGATGGTTGATGGCACTGATTGCAGCTTGGCTCCAATGCGGAGCTGCACTGTGCTGGAGACACGCTCTCACGGCTGATTATCCTCTTCTCACGGAGGTAGTTTTACGCCGGGTTGTTCAAACGCCACTCAGTCGCAGCCCCCCCCCCCCATTAGTGAGATGTACAGACAGGATGGCTGGCCTCCACTGAATCCCCCAGTGCTGTCACACACGGCAGCTCCCCTGGACTCGGCCGCTGGGCCGAGCAGATGTTTACACGGCTCAGGAAAAATGAGCGGGGCTCGGGAGTGTGTGAGGCCAAGCTTAGCTGGAGCCAGCTGGAGGCCATTTGTCTGGCCAGAGGAGTGGGGGGTGGGGGTCCCTGTCATCTCCTCCCAGGCCTTTAGTTTGGTCACAGTCCCTGACCTACACTCTGCATCTGTCACTTATCTATTAGCTGAGTAATTACTCCCAGCTGACTGATGGGAGACCTCCAGCAAGCTCCGCCTCTCCCACAGCGCAGTTACCAGGACGCCAATCAGATTACGGCAGCGCTTACCTGGCCCGGCCCAACTCAATCTGCTGTTGAACCCCGGTCACAGTGTTTGATTAGCTTATAGGCTAGTCTCTCACATCCAGCCATTTCAGTGCTCTTTATGGGGGAAGCTATTTGTCCAGACCTGTGAGGAATTTTGGTACTAGCTCCCCCTACAGGTCTGGCTGACTTCTGTGGTGTCTAAAAGCATGGTAAGCCATTGGCCTCCGTCCCCTAGGGGGCACTCTAGTTTATTTTTGCTTGTTTTTACCTTTTTCTAGAGCGAATGAACACACACTTATCAGTAGCGACAACGTCTCATGATTTTTTAGGGTCACCCTCCTGTTTTTTTTCGGGGCTGTGAACACGTGCTGAAATTACACCGCATATCCTTGCTCAGTTCGTCACTCCAAGGTGTGTGGTGGGCGTTTAAATTGAGCGTGGGGGGGAGGAGTAGTCGGTGAGACAAGGTGGGCTTCGGATACAGGAAATGGTGTAATTCCATTTTCTGTCACTGGGGGCTTCAGTTATTCAGTATGCGTGTTGAAGCTACAGAATGTGGATCAACGAGGCTTTTGAAACTCCCCAGGCTGAGAAGATGAGCAGCCAGCTGGCCTCTCTGCCCCCCCTGCACGTGCCCAAGCTGCCTGCCCCTGTCGGATCTCAGCCCGCGGCGCACTGTAGCGCCCTCTACCGCAAGACTGACCAGCTCCTGGAGACGCTGCTGAAGATGAGCGCAGGTGTCAGGGTGGTGGATGTTACGGGCAAGTCACCGGGTAAGAGCAGCAACTCCCTGCCTCAGGGACCAGACCCTCCCCCCCTGGTAAGAGCAGCAACTCCCTGCCTCAGGGACCAGACCCCCCCATTCCACCAATCACCAATTTCAGTAAAAAAAAAAAGACAATCTATAATATCGTGTCTGTTTTGAGGTGTGCAGCTCTATCAGGCTGATCTGCTAATGGAGGGAGTCTCTGAAATGACCCTAACTGCCCCGGAATCGAGGTGTGATATTGCTCCTGGACATTGTACAGCGTCATAAACGCTGCAACCCCACAGTCAGGCTGCCTGGTTCTTTATGGTTCTTTCTCAAAGCTGTTGTCACCTCCTTTGCTGGGAGCTGTAGTACTGCCCATAGCCTGCAGGGGGCATAGGGTGGGGTTCGGCTCGGTGATTGTGTCTTCCTGTGTCGCAGTGAGCCCCAGCGCACAGCTCCTAGAGCAGACGGCCCGCCTGCAGTCCCTCAGCGAGGCGCTGGACAGACTCAAGGTAACCCGCCGGGGGACAGGACAGGGCTTTGCCACTCGTGGCCCCCAGCTTGTTCCAGAAAGTGGCCCCTGCCCCAGTTTCTGGCAGACTATTGGGCTTGTGCAGGGAGAGCCCGGTTGTGCAGCGCAGAGTTCGTCCCGTGAACACCCCCCATTTCCTGTCAGACGTGTGATGTCAGGTTAGTAACTGCCCCGCCCCCTTTGCAGGACGAGGTGGCCGAACACGTGGTGAGCCGCCGGCCCGGGGCCCGCGCCCCCTCCAGCTTCGCCACTTTCCCCTCCTCGTCCTTTGTCAAGGTGAGCCGCCATCTTTAACTGATTCTGACGTTGTGGCGGGTAACTGTAGGAGGGCCCATGTGTTCTGACTAAGTGAAACTGACTTGCCATGTCGGCACCCTGCCAGAAGGTGGCGCTCTATGCTGCCTATTGCCTGTGGTACTGATCCAGTTTGGGGCTCATTCTATATGCACTGTTCTTGCAAAGGACTTATTTAACCTGGAACCAACCGGTCCTCTGGGAGGGTCAAACCCAACAGCCCGTGACACTGCTGCCCTCTGAAGGCCCTCAGTTGTATTTCAAGCCCAAGATAATTTACTAGTTCTGGTAATGCGATCCTGGTCTGGGGGGGGGGTGTGTTTAGATATTCTGGCAGTAGATATGCAGCCGCTTAGGGTGCTTCAGTGCAGCCCTCCCCTAAACGCCGCCATTATCGCGATTTACGTCGGCCAGCACCGTTTTTAAAAACACGCTCTGTTTGGTTTGATATAAAGTTACAGGCAGAGAGAGCCGGCTCTGTGCGTGTCATGAAGCGAAGGTCGTGAATTTCATGCCCGTCTCTGATCAAAAGCAAGCACGAGGGGAAATGTGACCCTGCCCAGGGAATGGACTTTAAATCCTGAATTATGCCGTGTGTTCAGTATGAATTGATGTTATTAATGTCCTGTTTAAGAAAATGCCTACAAACTGCAGACCAGCTTAACTGCATTCCGGGGTTTTTTTTTGCCCCTCCCCCGTTTTCCAGGCGTCTGAGGAGCGAAAGGGTGAGACGGTGCTGGTGGGGAAGGTGCTCATTCCCTGTGCCCGCGGGCAGGAGCGCGTGCACCGACTGGTCCTGCCGCAACAGCATCTGCACACGGTCCACCGTCTCCTCATGATCTAGCCACGCCCCTCTCCGGCTCAGTCCACTCCTCCACAGCGGGGGAGGGACTCTAAATCGTAACTACTTTTCAAAACAAAGAACTCGTAACACAACTGGGAACTCTCAATAAATGGGCTAATTTTAAGGTATTTCTCAGGAAACTGTACTTTTCTGTCTAGGAACTGTACTTAAATACCAAAATGTTTGCTAGTATTCTGTTTGCCCCTAGGTTTAAATAACATTGTGGAAGGTTACCAGTTTGGGTTTTGTTTAAAAAACAAAAACAAACGTGTTTGTATGTTTGTATGGGGTACTACAATCTGTTTCTGCTTGATAAATAGAATAAAACAGGTCAGCAAATTACCCACATTGGCATCAATCACTGGGGCTTGGCTGTGCATTTTTGCAGCAATGGATTGTAGGCTTAAAAAAAACAAAAACCTTGGCAGAGCTGAATAGGAGGCACCAAGGATGAGGATGTTAAATGGCCACTTGCTGCCCCCAGAGACATACGGTCCGCTCATTTTTACATGCTTATAAATTTCCTGGTAAATCTCAACCTAATTATTAGGTTTGTGGGTTATGTTGTCGCAGAGAGCTTATGTTAACCAATGCCATGCTTTTTCAGGAACCTTCACTTTGCTGTTTATTATATTTTAGAATTGAATTGCTGTTGCTTAAATTAGCTGTTTGAAAAACCCTAAATCAGACATTCCAGTACACCGTAAAAAGGTGCTATTTGATTCATTGTTGACTGTGGAAGACTTCTTTTAAATCCTTTACTGAGCAGTTAGCTAGTGGGGGGGTCTGTTCCTGAACTCCACCAATAAGCAGAGGCTAAGGCATTGTTTCTGGCAAAGGTGACACCCAATTGCTGTGCTAACCGAGCAACCTTTAGTACTGTAAGTATCTGATCAATAAAGCTTTATTACCGTGGAAACCCAGTGTTTGACTTCATTGATATGTTGTGAGGTTTGAAATGGGCACCGTTGGGGGGAAAATTGGAGCATTTTTCACACTGAAGATTTTGTCCAAGGCGGGCACTAGCTGCCGGCTGAGGCATACCCCCCCAAGCCCCCACATCAACCTCACCCCTGGTCACACAGGCCTGAATTAAACCAGTTTCATACTTCAGAACAATAGGATCATATATGGGTAACTAATATATGGGTTTTCTACAACGTCCTACTTAAATTGACATCAGTGAATAGTCTGTCTTCAGATGTTAACACCAGGCCAGGTGACAAGACTAGAACAATGGGGCTGATTTTCAGTATCAAGTCCATCAAAAGCTGGAGCATCAAACTGGGTTTGAAAGTCTCACTTTCAAAAGCACATGGTGATGGACTTTATTTCCTGTGTGCGGAAATCGATTGAGCAGCCCTGGACACAGACGTGCCTGGGAGAAGCATTAAGATTGTCCCTATCCTGCTGACAGGACACGCCCCCCCCATCTCAGGCTGTTGCTTTTTTGCCCCCCCTCCCCAAAATCAGAGCAGAAAGTCTGCTTTCAAAACGTTACAATTAAAAAAGCAGCAGCCTTCAAGCCAAATGAAAATCGATCCGAGTGAAACGAAACTGCAGGCGTGGAGTGAGGGCCCCCCCCCCCCCGCCTCCCAAAAAGGGGAACAAATCGCTCACCGCTTGTGCCCGATGCCCTCTGAGCACTGCTCTCGCTCGACTGCGTGCCCATTAAGTCCCTTAATAGCTGCAAACGAGGTGGCACCAGCGTAACATCCATTAGCGATCCTGAGGCACCGCGAGACGAGGGCGGACGCCGGTGCCTCAGCGCGGCTTTAATGAGACCTGGGGTCAATTAGCCGGCCAGAATGATTCATTCCACTGATCGATGCTTTTGTTTTTTAATTGCGACACACAGCAGACTGAAAACGCAGGCCTCGCTTGCAAACAAGGCGCCGATTTGTCGGCAGAACGGTCTGCAGAAACACCAGCGAAGCTGGACTCCTAAGGTAGTGCCCGCCCCTCAGCCGCTGACTCGCTGGCACTAAGCCCGACTCGCCCCCTCAGTGCACCTTAACGTTCTCTGCCTGCTCGCCACTCATGGTGGCTCGACAGAACCCAAGATGTCGGACAAATGACAGCTTGAAGAATTCCCTTTACTTTATTTGTACAACATTAATACGGGTTCTCCGGCTCAACAAAACCACCACATTTAAGAACCATTTAGTGTTAAAAAAAAAAGAAGCATAAAGCACAGTACAGAGACAGGAGTTTAAAAAAAAAAGGCATTTTCAGTGTGCCTGAGTAAATAAATGATCAAAGATTCAAGTAGTGTTTGCAAAAGGGGTGTAACAACCTGGGGGTGGGGGAGATCAGTTTGTGTCCTAAAAACACAGAGGCACAAAGGAACGAGAGAGAGAAGAACAGAACACTGTTAGGATTGAGTTATTGTAACGGGGATGTTATCCATGTATGGTCATTAGATCATAGGAGTGTAGCTTAGTCATGGTGCTGCATAGCCGGACGTCACTCGGTGGAAATGGCAGCGTCAACGAACGTTCAGGATCTGTTGCCAGAGCGGGCCTTGCGACGAGCGTACGGGGAGATCGGAGTCCTGGCCTGGCGCTGCCTCCTCATCACATACCCATCCTCCGGCCCTATTCGAGGGGCCGGCCTGGGGGGCGGGAGGCCTGGGGGAGGAGATGAGACTGTGGGCACGGAGGCAGCCATTTCACACCCAATGAGCGTCTCTAAGAACAAGCCATGCTAGCACGCTAATGCCTTTAGAATTAAAACAGCGGCTTAGATATCGCTCTCAGCCATGCTGTAATTTAAAAAAACATGGATGCTGCTTTCAGGGGTGGTTTCTGGGGTTCAAAGAGTCACTTTGGGGTCCCTCAGTGTAGTGACTGCTTGTGGCCAACAGAGGGTCCCCAAAACTCTGGGGCCCCTCACAAATAGGCGGTTTGAAAGATGGAAAACGCCCCTGCATGCTGCTTGTCCCCTGGTTAAGGACAGTAGGGTAAACAGGGAGCGAATTACGAAGCCACAGCGTCCCCCGTTTGCCACACTGTGCTCTTAGCTCACCGTCATGTTTCAGGCATTTGTGTGACTTGCTGACTGGGGACAGGGAGAGGCTGCTGTCAGTCTCCAGCAGGAATATTAATGTGCCATTCAGGGGAGGAGGGGGGGGGGGTCACACCTCAAATATCTTCCTAGGAAGTTAATCAGAAGCTCCACACTTGCAATTAAAAATGGGCATTTGTGAGACGACCTGTCCGTATAAAGGTCAAGGACGAAAGGGCAGGGAAGGCAGCTGTTTGGCTCAGACAGGTAAAGAATTCATTCGGGCAAGTTCTCAGGACGCCCAAGTTCGACTAAACACCAAAAAAATGCGACGTCCCAGGGGCTGCAGAAAAGGTGACAGATGTCTGGGACATTCATCCCTGAGTGAGATTTTAATGGTCTTCTGAGGACAAGCTTTAGCGACTAATTCCCCATACTGCCCTCCAGCACTCAGAGGCTTCGGCCAGGATCTGCTGTTGTACCCTTAGGCTACAAGCTGATCTGGAATACAGATGTACCATCAGAACTCTCCGCACGCTAAATGGAATCCATCAGCAACAGAGGGAGGAGGAATCATGGCGGTCAAGAACCGGGAGGCCCGATCGTAGAACAGACGCCCCAGTAGGAAAGCTCACCTGCATGAGGGTACGGGTTCCAGGGACCAGCATAGCCTGAAAAGAAGGGGGGCGCATGCTGCTGGAAGAACTGGCTTTGGCCGCCATAGCGATTGTGGCCGTGCATGAAGCTGGGCTGCTGCCACGGCGACCAGCCTAGGGGACAGAGGGGACAGACTGATCAGCTACATGATGACGCAGAGCCCAGCCCCCTAGTGGTGGGGATGGGGTACTGCCTACACCCGGCACGTTTTGTTCTCAGCCAACGAACATGTGAGTAATTATAGATAAGTGCACCCACTAGGTGGATAAAATGCTAAGCGTCGGATCCAAAACGCTGCTCTTCAGTGTCTGAGTTCAGGCCGGGGTTCAGACTCCCTGCCAGGAACGTCAGACGCAGTGCTGCGCGTTCAGCTTTAAGAGCCTCGCAGTATTTCCTTCGGTTTCACTTAGCAAAGACTTTGTCAGAGGTTATATAGCAAAGCACAGCTAAAAAAAAACCCTCAGGCTGAGCATCTTATCTTGTAACTAAAAACTAGCCCCCATTGGCTAATCCTGACTCCCGCTCTCTCTGTAGCCTCACTTTCACTGCAGCCATGACTGGTATAAGCCTACTTCTGATTGGGGGGGGGGGTAGCTTAACATTTTTGGCAGAAATCTAGCAGGGTTTTTCCTCGGAAATGGCAGGACTGGGGTTGGGGGGGGGGTCTCTGTAGGAATCGGAGTGGTGGATTTACACAGCGACCTAGACAGCGACAGGCAGACACACACACTCACACTCACGGGTGCAATAAACAGAAAACTACTAGCATTTTCATCCTATAAGAGAACAAAGGGGACAATCTGAAGGATACAGCTCTGAGGATTTCCTCGAAGGTCCATCATTCAATTCAAACATGTTAAAACAATTCTCCGAAACACCTACGTGTAACACACAGGCTCACCAAACTCAGGTATGATGAACGATAAACATGTTAGGTCACCACTTTCTACGTGATTTTAAATTCTAATGAACCCAATAAAAAAAACTATGTAGAAAACAGGAATAATAGGTTCCCGATGCATGTTCTGGCAGTGGGCGTGTCCACAGAAGAGAGAGTGGGCGGAGTTACAGCTCTATACCTCTATAAGGATGTGGCTGATATCCAGAATGCCGAGGCGGACCGTGAGTGTGCTGGCTGCTGCTGGAAGCTGGGGCTCTTACACGGCGCTTTACATCCCGGGAGACACTTTGGGACCCTGGGGGGGTGGAGGGCCTGATCAAGCCTTCATCTCCATCAATCAGCCATCGCACTTGAGATGCCATGATATAAACATGATATACACAGAGAAAAACAGCCACAAGGTCAGCAGCTAAGGGCGCATGGTCTGGGGGCGTGAGACTGGCTTCCCCGCGGCTCGCTGAGCGCCACGTTTAATGGAGTGACTGCGCTGACAGGTGAGTAAGATGCACTGCATTAGAATGTAATTCCGGTACAGATGACAGCACGTTCTATAAAGCCTGCAGGACTCCGGGGGGGCGGCGATTAAAGCAAACTGGATTCACAGAGGACAGGTACCTGGGTCCTTCAGAGATGTGAGACGGGGCGTATCCAGTACAGTGATGGTCAGCTGCTGTCCGGCGGTCTCACCGGGCTCTGGGGGGAGATGGGGGGGGGTCTCCGTTTAACCAGCCAAAAGGGGCAGGTGGCGTTTAAAGGCTTTTATCTTCTGTCATACCAAGTTCAGGGAAATGTTTAGACAGATTGCACACTAAGGGCATACTCACACTTGGCCTGCGCACTCAGGGCGTACTCACACTTGGCCCAGTTGCCAGTCGCATCACTGATGTTATGTCTGTGTTCTGTGCTCAGGTGCTGTTAGAGACTGTGCCCAAGTGCAAATGAACTGTGCCCTAACTCCCCTCTTCAAGATACTAGTCAAACAAACTAGACTATGAGGGTCAAACGTCTGCACCCAGCCATAATCACGCTCGCCCCCTACAGGTCGCCCCCTACAGGTCGCAGTGCTCACCCTTGCCTTGGCCTGGCTGGTGCAGTTCCACGCCCCAGGCCTGTGCCGCATGCTCCAGCAGCAGGCTGCTGATGCGCCGGTGGGCGAGGGCGTTCCAGTGCACGCCGTCCCGGACACGGTGCTGCAGCAGGAAGCGGAAGTGGAAGTGCAGGTCCAGCACATCCAGGCCGTGGGCATCCGCCAGAGTGGCGCTGAAGAAGTTGGCTTCGATGACGTCATGGCGCAGCATCGACGCCATGTCCTGGATCTGTGGGTGGGGCATGATTTTTACATGTAGATGTATATATGTCACTGAATACACATATGCCATTTTCCAACCACCATTTTGCCCTATGTTTACCAAAGTGGTATATTGTCCTCTTTTATTGCCAATTTTCTTTTATATACAGCTCTGGAAAAAAATTGAGACCACAACACAATTTTTTGTTTCATTTCTCAGTTTATGGGTGTTGCAAACAGCAGTCTGGTTCTTCTGCTTCTCATTAATGAAGGGCTGCTTCCTTGCTTTAGTGGACTTCAGTCCTGCTTCTAAGAGCCTGATACAAACTGTCCTAGCCGTGCACTTCACAGAAACTTAACATTTTCCATTCCTTTGAAAGTCACTTGATGTCATGCTCTGATTCATGAGAAATTGTTGGATAAGTTGACGGTCATCTCTGCCATTAGAAAGACGTTTCCACCCTCCGCCTATCTGGTTTCTGGTCGTTCCCAGGGTCTCCTGTTTCACCTTATCCTTCTGTCCTGCTGTCTTAGAAACTTCAAGCCTGGAAGCAGTCTGCCATGTAGCCTTCTGCCGGCAGAACCAGGATTAAATCAGGATTTAGTAATGCAGATTCTTAAAAAAAATGGAGTGGTCAATTTTTTCCAGAGCTGTATTTATTGTTTCTTTACTTGCATTATTGTATTTCTGTCTTGTGTTGTATTTCTTTCCACGATATCAGACAAAGAAATTTCCCCCCACAGCAATCAATGAAGTTCCATCTTATCTGACACTCATCCTAATGCTCTTCTGTTTAGAAGCACACGGCTCTGGCTCACGCCCACCTCCGGCACAAGGAAACCCCCGACGATCTTCTTCCCCAGAGGCATAGTCATGTTCCAGAGCACAAGACATTCCGGGTGAAGGATCCTCTTCAAGTGTGAAAACAGCTTCTGGAGGTTCTCCCGGTAATCCGGGGCCCAGTTCCGGCTATACCTGCCGTAAGATGGTTAGACGTGAAATCTCCCTGTTGGAGTGCCGCTCTCAGGAGCCACGGTAACACGACAAGGACCAATCACACAGGCATCACCCAGCAGTGGTATTTACCATCACTCTAAGGTTCGCCCCCTGTTGGCCACAAACAGTCACTACACTAAATATTTAATAATAAGAAGCATGTTCTGCTAACCAACTAGCTAACAGAGCTCTGACTCCACTTATTAGCTATTTATTTAAGGTTTTAAAATATTTGAGGGGGGCAGGGAGGAAAACTTTTTTAGAGGCCCCTAGAAACAACAAACCCACCCCTGTCACCTCCCAACAGCAGCACTGCACGCAACCACGCGGCCAACTGGTCAGTTACCCCGATTCACAAAGGGGCCTCGTGCATCGGAACTGTATTAGTGCATCACCCCAGCGATCAGCCCTGCATGTCCAAAACCGTACATTTAAATCCCCCTCCAGTCCTCAGCTGGACACTACAGAACAGGGCTAGTCAACTCACAGTCCCCAAGGGCCGAGCCCTGCTGATTTTCCAGCCTTCCTTCACCTGTCAGTCAGGTGTGAAGCCTCTGACCAATCAGAATCAGTAATTATTAAACTAACTACCTGGGAGAACTGAAAACAAGCCCTGGATTTGGAAGAGGGCCTGAATTGAATAGCCATGCTATAGAATCACTCCCAGCAGTGTGGTCTGCTATAGAATCACTCCCAGCAGTGTGGTCTGCTATAGAATCACTCCCAGCAGTGTGGTCTGCTATAGAATC